TTTTACCGTAAAGTACAATCTTTAAGATAATAACTATAGGCAGGTGCAATCCCGTGATCTGGTGGGCACGCTGTTCAATGAACAATAGATATAAGATACTCAGCAATCTTTTTATAAATTAACAGATATTAACAACTAATTTAATAATTTTCTCTTTTCAAAAAAAAAAAAAAAAAAAACTAGCTAACTATAGGCAGGTAAAAAAGTACTGAAAACCTACTAATTCGGGTAAACGAACATGCCAAATCAATTCACATGCGTCAAGATTCAATTAAATACCATACTAAGAAGTCATTTTGTCAGGAATTTCCCTTCCTTAAATAAGAAGACTTTTGACCAAATTATTAGTAATAAATAATTTTAATAACTTTGATATGAGGTGTAATTTTTTTAAGTAAAAAAAAGAAAAAAAAAAAAAGGGGAGAATTTCCTTTCATTTCTTGGGTCTTTCAATTTGGTCATATAAGTTTTCTTCATAATTAATGCTGAAAATTTCCAACTCCCTTTTTGCATAGTGAGAAGCTACTTAATAGAAATCCGAGACCTCTAATAAGTTTAGATCTTACGAGCCTCAAGTTTAAATTTTATGAGAAGTGAGAAAGATGTTATCTAATTCACCATCATAATAATAAAAAAAATAAAAAATGAAAAAATGAAAATATTCAAAAGGCAAATTTTTATTTCGACATAAAGAGAACTTTTAGATTTGGTTCAATAGAATGACTACTCCATAATTTTAGTGCCTAAGAAATAAGATGAGAAGAGAGCAAAAGAAATAGTCATTCCATTGAGCCAACCATTCTTCCGATCTCGATGTCGTGGTTTTAGTTTGGTGGGAACAGAATCTCCAGGAGAGCCTGCTCCACTTCTTGCTTGAACACCATATCAGCAAGGAGTCGATCGAGTTTCACCCTTCCCAATTCCAGCTCTTTCTCCTTGTCTGCAGCAGCAGCTTCCATTTCCGCCACTTCCTCTTTCATGCGGCTAGTTTCCGCTCTCATCCTCACCGCCTCCGCCTCCGTCCGGTTAAGCGCCTCGTCCATGTTTAGCTGCTCCGTTGATTGACGTGTTGGAATTGGATATATTTAACTAGTGTACTTATAGAGGGGGAAGAATATTAGCACGGTAGTCGGTAGCATGTCGAGGAAAAAGCAATATTAATTACACCAAAAAGTCCAAATGAAACGATCGACCGATCCACGGCCGCATGCGGAAAGCATTTTGTGGAAATTTGCGACTATCGTGCGTTCGGTAACGTGGTCCTCTGTCCCCTTTTCCGTGGAGTTTAGGCTTCGCTTTCATGATTTGACTGATTTGACAGGAAATGTGGACTGGTGAAAAGAAGCGGAAATTATAAGAAAAAAAAATAGGTATACTAATTCATTTTATTTTTTATTTAAAAATATAAAATTTGAAAATTTTTCATTAATAATGAATTTTTACTCTTTTTTACTTAAAAATGTAAATTTTTTTATTAAAAAATTTATTAAATAATGATAATTTGATAAATTACAATTTTAATTTAAATGTAATAAAATTTATATTTTTAAATAAAAAATAACAAAAATTATATTTTTATATTTAATGTATATATTATTAAATAAAAAATGATAAAATTTAAGCTCCCATCTGCAACTTTTCGATGGGCAATGACTAATCTAAATTGACAATAATTTCTCTGTGCTGAAAACGATCAAGATAATAGATATACCATGCCAGCATTAATGAGTGACGCGACAGCATCTTTCACTAACAACATTTTCACCACTTTCCAAGTTTTCATCTATATTTACATCTTTTTCAATATGAATTTTTTTAATATTTGTAGTTAAAATATAATTAATATATTTTTGGTTAAATGCTCATTTTGGTCCCTTAACTTTAGTGGTTTGCACATTTTTGGTCCCTTGAGAATTTTTTGCACTTTTTTGATCCCTCAACTATACGAAATGCACTCCGTTAGTCTTTCTGTTAATTCGGGCCGTTAACTCGCTTAGGTGGTATTTTTTATAATTTTTTTTATGACGTGGTAAAAATAAATTTAAAAAACGTTGATGTGGAATTTTTTTTTAAGCCAACTCATTGCCAACACATCAACTAATTTTGTCTTAATAAAAAATAGAAAATTACAAATTTACCCTCTCC